TTTCCAAAATTTTGGGGGGCAGTTGCCCCCCCCCCCCGCCCCCTGTCTCGTACGCCTATGTCAATAAGGCATTTACAACATGAACATAATACGAAGCCAAAGTGAAAGTGTGAAAGTGAAAAAAACTTTAAAAAGAAAGCGTGCTAATTCTCGTATTTTACTCGTATGTACTCGTATTTTACTCGTATGTACTCGTATGTACTCGTATGTACTCGTATGTTACTCGTGAGTACTCGTATGTTACTCGTGTGTACTTGTATGTTACTCGTGTGTTACTCGTATGTACTCGTATGTTACTCGTATGTACTCGTATGCACTCGTATGTTACTCGTATGTACTTGTGTGTTACTCGTATGTTACTCGTATGTACTCGTGTGGTGTTTTAGTCACGATCATTTATTTGAGTTTCCTTGCCTATTTTTAAAATTAGTCTATAATGGGAATTGTCTATTGCTTTCGTAGCACTTTTCCCGATTTCCGTGTCACTTTTTCCGATGCTTCACCACGAAGATTCCGACAACATTGACAATTTTCCGATGGGTCTCAACATGAAGCTATACAGGGTGTTTAAAAAAAAAACGCTATGAAAATTCAACAGGCTGTTGTGCATCACAAACTTAACGAAACAATTCAATTTTTACATAAGACGAAAGAGCTGTTATTTAGCTTTTCTATGATATATTTCTTAGGCCACATAAAAAAAATAGTTGGTTAGCGTCCTCGCCCGCCCACAAAAAAGGCCCCGCTCAGGATTTTTTAAATTTTTTATTTTAAAAAAACCCAACTTTTATTGATCAACGGGCTCTAATACATGTAGTATTTCTGTTGACTGTAGACAATTGTGTTAATAAGTTGCGAAATTGCGTGCGAAAATGACGGTACGAATCATATTTTGAAATATATAAAAAAATATCTGTACTGCACAAGAAAATCCAGTTTTGGACCTAAAGCCAAGGCGTTAAAAATTAGTAAAAATTAAAAAAAAAGCGCCCGCCCGCCCACTTTTTGGCAAAAGCTAAGGACGCTAACCAACTATTTGTTTTATGTGGCCTTAAACCGTAACGATGAGAAATGGCCACATACTGGTCAAATAAAAATTTTCGGTCGAAATCACATTCTTCCACCGTTGGGAATTAAAAATATATTAATTATGCAAAGTTAATCAATCCAAAAGCACCGCGAGTCTGCTCAGTGCAAAGATACTTGTTTCGTAAAACGTTTTGATTACGAATGTTCTCTGTTCAGGGGTTAATTGAACCATGTTTAATGCAATAATGGACGTTCTAATTATGGTCTCACTAAGATGAAGAGTGAGGAGTTGAGTTTATTTTAGATAATTTAACATTCAATTTTAATTCCCTCCTGGGAATTGTTTACGTTTCGTTTTCCATGCAATTCCCAACGGTGGAAGAATGTGATTTCGACCGGCAATTTTTATTTGATGAGTATGTGGCCATTTCTCATCGTTACGATTTAAAAAGAGTATCATTGAAAAGCTAAATAACTGTTCTTTCGTCCTATGTTAAAATTGAATTGTTTAGCTACGCCATGATGCACGACAGCCTGTTGAATTTCCAAAGCGGTTTTTTTTAAACACCCTGTATAATCAAGGACTCCCTTTTTTGAGGGTCCTGAAGGGGTAAAATAGGAACTGGGATTGATCTATTTTTAGACTGGGAAAATGGGATTTGGGTTGCTGGGACTGGGATTTGGCCACTGGGAATGGGAAATGAAGTCCTCAAAAATGGGAATGGGATTGAGGTAATGCGAGTCGATTCCCAATTTTTCTGCGTTTTAAGTATTTTAAAATACAATTTTGGTCCGTTTTTGGTGTCTTTGGTCATGGTTTTTGTTGTTAACTATATTATTCACAGCACTACCTGCGAACAAGCATACTCTGGCGCCCGGAATTCTGGGTTTTCTGATTATGCGTGCCTCAGAATGCTGCAAATGCCATTTCCGGAATTCAAATTTTAAAATTTTCCGTGCCTTTGGCACAACCCCCCCAATTTTATAAAGTGTGTGCCACTTGCACACACGATGGCTTAAAAGTCTTAAAACTGTTTATTGTACTGATAAATAAAGGGTTTTTTATTGACTGGGATTTCAATAACTCGGACTGGGATTTCTAATAAAAATCCAACTGGGACTGGGATTTTGCCAAAATTTCAGGTGGGAAATGGGATTGGGAACCCCCCCTTCAGGACCCTCTTTTTTATACAATACATTTTATCAGGAGGGACCCAAAATTTTGCCAGGGGGGGGGGCGGCCCCCCCGGCCCCAGCCCTGGCTACGCCTCTGTCTACACTATACAGTATAATTGAAGTTATTGAACTATGGCCAGTAAGACGTGAGGGTTATTTTATTTATAGGTCTGAGAAATCCCCCCCCCCCCCCATTTCTATACTAGGGAACCACGGAATAGCTTTGAGGCTTTGGGCCCTCTCAATATATCTTTTTAGCTTTTAAAGATAAAGAGCAGAGCCCAGCAAATAACTTTAAATCCAAACATAATAAAAGTAAAAAATTTATTAGCCGAGTAACGTTTCGTTGTTTACAATACAACATCTTCAGAGCAATCTAAATGAATTTACAGGGTATGGTATATATATTTACAAAATAATGGTTTAATATTACAAAAACGGTTACATAGTTTGAAAGAACAAATGAATAGAAAGAAAGGAAAACAACTTATCATTGACTAGTTAATAAGTTAAGATTAATGTATGGTTAGTATAGTTAAGGTTAATATTACATATATTACATAACTAAAATAACTCAAGAGGGGTAGCCGATCTAATATTAGCATTAAGGACAGGGTTAAGTTGAGATATTAATAGGCTTTCACGGATAAGAAGATCCCACTCAGAAGTGCCTGATGATAGGATTTTGAAATCAGAAGCGGAGACTGGGTGTTTGTGCATGTGTTTGTGAGCGAGTATACTAGACATGGTTGAGATACAGCGTTCTTTTCCAGTCAAAGGCGAGATTCCCATATGCTCTGAGATACGTGTGTGAATGTGTCGGCGTGTTTGGCCAACATACAATGCGCTAATTTCGATGCTCAGAATGCAGGAAATGGTACTTGCGGGCTTCAAATTTCAAAAATTTTCCGCCCCTGACGTGTGTGAATGTGTCGGCGTGTTTGGCCAACATACAATGCACTAGTACAGCATTGACACGTGAACTGATACACAACATGTGATCTCAGGGCAATGGGAATCCTGTCTTGAAATGGAAAGAAACTAGAAAGGCGACAAGAGGGACGGAAAACAACACGTATGGAAATATGGATAAGCAGAAGCAAGAACTTTACTAAGTTGTGAAATCTACATATCCGTTCACAACTTAGTAAAGTTCTTGCTTCTGCTTATCCACATTTCCATACGTGTTGTTTTCCGTCCCTCTTGTCGCCTTTCTAGTTTCGTTCCATTTAAAGACAGGATTCCCATTGCCCTGAGATCACATGTTGTGTATCAGTTCACGTGTCAATGCTGTAGCGCATTGTATGTTGGCCAAACACCCCGACACATTCACACACGACTTGCTAATAAAAAATAGTTATTGTTATTGTATTAGGCAAATGAAAACCATACATTTTGAGGTTTGAACTTTATACGCTTTACTGTTATCATGAATTTTGTTTTGACAAATGTTGAAGTATTTGTTGTTATAGTTCTATTATTAAAACAAACCAAAAGGAACCAACACAGAAAATTACTTGCGCGAATTTAAAGCTGCGCGAACAAGGTTTCGCGAAATTGGAATCGTGAATTTAAAGCTGAACGAAAATGAATATACAAAGTGACTATATGACCAGCAGCCGGTCACGGTTTATCAAATACTAAATGGCCGGCAGTCTAGTGACTATAGTTGAATATAAAAACTTTTGTTTGCATTAACTTTTGCCGAGCTTGCCGTTAGCTCATACGGCAAGGGCGCTGCGTGCGGAAAGTTAAATGGGGTCGGGGTGTGTTTTGTCTGACTTAGCATTGTTTTTTCTTAAAATTTTTTAAACTTTTTTTCCGACTTTTCTAACTCTCAAAAGGTTAGGGTTAGGGGTTAGGGTTAGAAAAGGGTTTGGGGTTGGGGCCGGATAGGTTTATCTTATAAAAATTCAACTTTAACCGAATAGTCACTAGACTGCCGGCCATTTAGTATTTGATAAACCGTGACCGGCTGCCGGTCATATAGTCACTTCCAAATGAATATACGACGCGAATTTTAATACAAGTGACGTATACGTACACTACATGGATTTGAAACATCTAACAATATATTTATTATACGTTTATATCCCAGGAAGCAGGCTCAGCTGTTGTAATTCTAAACTCTGTTAGTATACATGTAAACTACAATATAATATATCGGAGTGTAACTATTTCTATAAATTTCATTTACACTACTCGCTAGTCTTTAGACCCAGACTGGCTGCAGAGTATGGCAAGTGCACACTCAAGAAATTTTTTGTCCAATGACTTTGCACACTTGAATAATTATTAACGAGAAAAATATCGAAATTTAACAGGTCTATGAAAGTTGAAATAGAGTGTTTTAGTTTATATATTAAGTTGTTATATCAACTAGCTAGTATCTTTACGCAACTTCAAAATGTTGGTGTGATAGCCGTCGGCATTTGCGACATTTTTTCATAGAAAACTACAATGGAATAATTTTACAAGACTGAAATAGTGAAATTCTGAGAAGAGTGAGGAAGTAATATGAAAAGTTACTTTTACCGTAAGTTCTACCTATATATGGTAGAACATAGATAGGTGTATAAATAGATATTTTATACAAATATACATTATAGTACATTGAATAGAAAGTCAACAAATAATTAAATAATCAAATGAATATTTAATAACGCAACTTACATCATCAGTCATCGCACTCACTCAGATTTCAGAAAAGTCGTACGTAAATATGGCTAGCCTGCGTAACGGCTCTCAGAGAAAGTAGAGCCGTTACCACCTGAGCCGTTACGCAGGCTAAAATATGGCCGCCCACGCATGCAAATTGCAAAAAATATGTAAACTTATTGGACTACATGAAGTACAGCGGTTCATCAGTTGGAATACAAGAAGGCAGAAGATTCAAGAAAGCAGAACTTCTAGTCAAGACTCAATTATAGAAGGAAATAGTATATTTGTAATTTAATTTATATGTGGTCAATTGACTCGATCCAAGTGACCAAGACCCAAGTGCACACTTGGCTAAGTTGACATTGCACACTTGCACACTTGCACACCTGAGATTTTGTCTTGCACACCCAAGATATTGTTGAAAACTGCCATACTCTGCAGTCTAAAGTTTAGACTACAACAGGTATACAACTAATAATTACATGAGCAAAGTCTAAGATATAGGCGGGCGCGCCCGCCTTCAATTCGCGACTAGTCCTGGGTACGAGGTTGTGTAAACAATAGACAATTATAGACTAATTTTAAAATTAGGTAAAGAAACTCAAATAAATCACCACAGCTAGAAAGAGCATACTAAAATTAGTAAAATTACAAAGTTTGGTTGCGAAATGTTGTAAAATGTGGAAAATATAGCCTTGCAAAGTTTGCAAAT